TTGATATTATACTCATGTAAAAAAATAATTACGTGTTTTTTTAATGAAAACATTAAAATTTGCATTAAAATTGTTTTTATGTTAAAAATTTAATTTTATTTACACTAAACATCAAAAAAGACATGAAAAGTTGCATGTAAAAAATCACCGTATAAATGTTCATGATATTTTGGAAGATTCTCAAAAGAGAATTGGAAAAAACAGACGTCTGAAAAGTCTTAATGTAAATTGCGCCTAAGAAAACGAAACCAAGAACTAAACAATACGAAAGCAGCTTACTCAAAAATGTTTGCACTGTTCAGTCGTCGTGTTTATTTCGGTTGGCAGCTGCTTGTTTTGCAGCAGCGTGTGCACACCAGAGATACAAGCCGATGGGAAATGATCGGCGGCGGCGGCGGCGGCTTATTACAGAAAATATCGGCGGCGGCTAAATTGTCGGCTCAATTTAACTTTTTCTTTAGAAATTGACCTTATAAGGTTTATTATATTGAAAAATCTTTGTATAATAGTCTGTTACATAGAAACCTGTCTCTATATAAGTTTTTTTCTGCAGAAAATGGACATTTATAGTAGTTTTCACTATTTTAATATTAACACAATATTGTGTGGCAACACTTTTCAATTTGCCATAAGAATTTAAAATAGTGGCAACTCCGTTCAATTTGGTGAAATTATGTTCTGAAATACATGTGTGATTCTAATCTATATCAGCGGCTACGTTTAAGCCGGCTTAGCTTTTGAGCCGAAAGAAGTCGGCGGCGGCGCGGCTTGCAAAATATTACCGGCGGCCAGCCGCCGCCGATTTGAGCCGTCTCGGCTTGTATCTCTGGTGCACACAGTGACTGTATTCCAGAGATGCTCAAGCACATATACCATAGACTACCATAGTTTTATTTGTGTTGCAGCAGAGAGCAGAATTCAATTCAAAATAAAAGTATACTAATAAAATGACTACAAACTATAAAGTATATACTAACTGTCAAATATTTATTACGGATTTTGACAGCCAGCGTATATCAAAGTCTATATATAAAAAACTATCAACTACATTAATTCGGCTTCCTCAAAATTTTGTTGTTGTATTTCTGTGTGTATTTTAAAAACGTCGCACACAGACCTTGCTTCGACAAGTGCTGATCAGCAACTGATTTGATTTTGTTTTTCAAGTTGAGAGCAAACCAACTGATATTGCTCATTATAAACAGAAGAAGAATTAAACCTATAGCCAGTGTTGCCAGAAAATGAATTTCAAAATATGCTAAAATTTGAAAAAATAAGTGCTAAAATGTTCTACGGAAGAAAAAAAAGAGCTAAAATTTTTTTAATCTCACAAAACAATATAAATGTTTGTTTTTTCTAGTTTTTATTAAAATACTGATGATGTAGTGCATGACTCCAATATTTCTGGTACTATATCTTCATCGTAATCCTCATTTTGATATTTTTTAAATGATCGTATTTTATTTGTAATATAATTTTTTATATATTCATAAACAACATTTTATTTTGTAAAAGATTTTTAATAAGGCCTTAAGTGTAACGGCATGAATTTTCGAATTTCAATTCTTTTCGAATTTGTATTATTGAACATAAAAATTCAGCTTAAATACGATTTCGAATTTTATTTTAATTATAGCCTTTGATATAAAAAGCCTTTCAAGTTCGGCATTAGAAAAAGGTGAAACGAGTAATGACAATACAAAAATAGACAATTCATTAAATTAATTTTCACCGATAAAATTTTCAAAATTAAATACTTGAATTTAAAGAGTTTTTTCATAATGTTGTTTTGGTTAAACAGTTTCTGTTTTTGAGTGTATACTTTTAATTTTTGTTTTTCGTTTAGTTCATACTTTGTTTTGTTAACCTTTTAGTTAATTTTGATTATATGTTTAATTTTTTGTGTATTTCTATATTTTTGCAATGTTTTTGTTTTATTTGTGAAATTGTGATTTTATTTTTGTAATGTATTGTTTTTGTAACTGTCACTGTTTCACTTTACTTAATTTTCATAAGTATTCGGTTCGTTAGGACCATTGTTTTGACGGGTTCGGGGTTAGGTGCAATATGGGGTAAAATAAAACAGAATTTCTTTTTTTTTTATTTTAAAAACGTTATAAAACGTATAGTGTTTTATTTAAAATAGGGTGATACGATATTGTATATTTAAGTTCATAATAAAATTTCACAATTTATAATTTTTAGGTTTTTTTATCTTTCTATAATAGATTTAAGTTTTAAATTGATTTTAGGTTTTAGTGTAAGTTTTAATTATTTGAAATTAGGTTTATGCTTTATTTTAGTGTTTGTATTTAGGGTAAGTTTTATTTTATGGGTTTTAATTATTTATTATTAATTAATAAGTTTTAAATAGTTTTAGTTTATTAATTGTTGTATGGGTTTTGTTCTTCAGTTTTTCTTTTGTTATGGCCTTGCACACACTTCGATCTTCACTTCTACTTCTTACAATCGCATTTGAAGTTGGCTGCAGTTGGTTTTATTTGAGATGGGATGTTGAGGGTATGAATTTGCCAGTGTTGGGTAAATTTAGTACCTTTTGTTCACCGTGTGAACAGTGTGAATGTCATCAGAAAACATATTTTTTATTTTAGTTCTGTACCGTTGTCCAAGTTTGGAAATGTTTTTTGGAAGTATTTTATATAGGAACCGTACTATTTATTAACTGATTAGAAACCCATGTTTATTCATGAGTAAAACGCATTTTTGTTTTTAAAAATCCGTTAGCAATTGACGACGTTATTGATCTTTTTCTTAATACAAAATTTTTCCAAAATTGATTTTCCGAAAGATGCTTTATATGGGGGATAGGGCTAAATATGGGCCTATCCTCATACAATTTGGTGGAAGGATTTGGATGCTGAATTTCATCGTGATATTAATGTAATTAAGAGAATTATGGAATTAAAGTCGCTTACCTAAGGAGGATTTTTTTGAAGGAGGGTTTGTATGGGAACTAGGGTCAAATAAGGTCCAAGCAATACAAAAATCGGTATAAATGAGTTTGCTGTAATCTTTAGTGATACTGCTGATTCTATCGACAATAAGGTCTTATTTGATCCTAGTCCCTATACAAACCCTCCTTCAAAAAATGACTTGAATTCCATAATTCTTCTCTTAATATTAATATCACGATGAAATTCAGCATAAATAACTTTTATATAAACATAAACCCTTCCACCAAATTTTTCGAGGATCAGCCTATATATTAAACCCTATTTCCCATATATAGCATCCTTCAGAAAATCAGTTTTTGAACAATTTTGTATTAAGAAAAAAATCAATAAAGTCGTCAATTGCTAAGGGATTTTTAAAAACAAAGTTGCGTTTTTCTCATGAATAGAGATGGGTTTCTAATCAAAAAAAAGTACGGTTCTTATATAAAATATTGCAAAACTAAAATAAAAAAATATGTTTGCTGATGAAATTCACACACATCTCTCCAGGTTACTGAAACATTATATATGTCATTATAAAGGCCTCAGCTTCTGCTTTCTAAATCCGTGGAAAAAGTTAAAATCGTTTCATATTCAACTAAGTTACTGACTTATAAGTGCTTAAAGGTATGAAAAAACGGTTTTTTACCGTTATGATTTTGGAGGTATTTGGCAAATTTCAGAAACATATTCTTGTTCTATTCGGATCCACCTTTCAGAAAAATAGTATCATTTCCGAGGCATTTATTTTTGTTGCATAGTGTAATTACATCATGTGAACGGGGTATTAAGTAATCGACATATTTCTTTTTTTGTTCTATTTTGCACATAAATACTGTTATCAACTTCATCATTATCATCGACTCTTGTTTGGAGAGGAGTATAATCATTTGTATTATCAGTTCTCTGAGAACTGTTAATATTTTTTCTTTTTTTTAAAACACTTTTGATTTTCAACTGAAATTGAAGCAGAAGAAGCATACATTGAAGAATTTGGTGAGACATCACATTTTTTGCCGCAAGGTAAATGAAATATGGATGAAAAAAAAATTATATTCGAATTTATTTAAAGGCACAGTACCAAATTTTACTTGAAATATACTATATCTTTTTCAATGATTGTTGAAATAAATTACTAACACATAAACAAGTTTTGACCAAATTTTGACGTGTGGCCATCACCCTTAAAGTTTGAATGAATAAATAATTTGATCTGGCTCCTCTTTCGTAAAAATAGAAATAAGAAGTAATGTATATAACAAAGAATAATGAAATAATAAAGAAAATCACTCAAGTTTTTAACTCACATGAATACTAAAATATTTTGTAATAGAATTTAGCATATGTATATTTATAGCAATAAAATTATTTTTAGCAATAAAAGTTTTTTTTTTGTTAAACACTGAATGAAATAAGCTTATTCTAATAAAAAAGATTTAAAGCACTTTATAAAAACCAACTTTACACATCAATGATCATTTGTACCTCTCAGAGGAATTAAATACAAAATTTAGTATATTTGGGAAACTATTAGATTATTAAAATTGTTCATAGATTACATTAAAATCTTAATAAACGTTTGGGAAAATTGGTGAACTTGTAATAATTTGCAAGGCATCTTCCATATGTAAAAAATTGTTTATCTGGAAAACTATTATAGTTAGAATCTTCAAAATTTTTAAGTGTGTTCTTTTATTTATATTGCTTTAAAGGTAGCAAAGCACACTGGGTATAGCTAGTATTTAATAAAAACCATTAGTGTTTAATTTAGAATGTATTAATTCTAAAATAAAGAATCCATAAAAAAAGCATTAACAAATACAAAAAGGAGAACAAATTTTTATAAAACTTACATACATATGTATATAGAATTATCTTTTGAAAGAAGTATACATTCCTAAAATTTGATAACATGTTCCAGACGGGAATTCCCCGAAAATTAATGCCGGTTTTCCGGGAAATGAAAAAATAATAATGTAAATAAATACTAATGTTAATTATAATTGTTAATTATAATTGTTCGTAAGATATTATTGTTCTACTTACCACCTTTAAGAAAGCTTTGAAATAAATTTTCTTTTAACGAGGCTCTAAAAGAAATATTTAAAACATTACGTTGAATATTATTATATTTTTGGAAAACTTCATGCAATCTCAACGAGTGTCAGCAAGCAGAAGTCTCTTCCCCTTCTAAAGTAAATGCCACATTTTCCAATTTGTAGCCCAAATGCATTTTTTTACAATTTATATCATTTTCTAAGGCATTTATTATCTTAGAATGATGAAAAAATATATTAATGAACAAATTAATGTTGGTATAAATTTCTTGTAATTACCTGATCATTATATTTGGTAACGTATATATACAGCTCTTTTAGAGCTGCTACAGTATCGAATTCGTCATTTTGTTGTATGGATAATTGCTGCATAGCAGTACTCATTTCCTGATCACTAATTTGTGGCAGTCTAGCAACATCTCGGTAGAATTGTTTAACCATCTTACGGTATTGAGGAATATCCTATATAAAATATGATATATTTATATTAGTAAATTTTTTTATTAATTATAAATAAAACAAGTATAGTGCCATATTCGGCTGTGCCAAAGCTACTTTTTATAAAATCCCATCTAAATATTTTAATATATTCAATAAATTGTGAAAGTTTAAAATTTTTCTCCATAATGAGGGTATCATTAAATAAGTCAGATTTATATCATTAAATAAGTCAAATAAGATTTATATCATTAAATAAGTCAGATTTTTATACCCACCATCAAAAGGGGGTATATTGATTTTGTCATTCCGTTTGTAACACATCGAAATATTGTCCATAGATCAATAAAAGTATATATATTCCAGGTCCTTATTAAATTCTAAGACGATCTAGCCATGTCCGTCCGTCTGTCCGTCCGTCTGTCTGTTGAAATCACGATAGGGACCACACGAGAGGAGCTAGACAGTTGAAATTTTGCATAAATATTCTCTATTGCTAAGGTTTGTATAGTATTGAAAATGGGCAATACCAGTCCAATTTTTCGGATAGCCCCCATACAAGTGGACATCCAGCTTTAACGGGCATAACTGCTTTAGAAGTACGAGTATAGCGATGAAATTCGACATAAATAAGTTTCATATGAGCCAAAATCTTTCTACCAAATTTTTTGAGGATCGGCCCATAAATGACTGTACCCCTCATATAAGGTCCCCTTCAGAAAATGACTTTAACACTCATTACAGGTCCAAAAATGCGAGTATAGCGATGAAATTCGGTATAAGTAAGTTTCTTACGAACCAAAATCGCTGCACGAATTTTTTTTAGGATCGGCCCATAAATGACCTTACCCCCCATATAAGGTCCATTTCAGAAAATGACTAACACTCATTACTGGCCCAAAAATGCGAGTATAGTGTTGAAATTCGGTATAAATAAGTTTTTAACGAACTAAAACCTCACTAGATTTCTATTTTAGGATCGGCCCATAAATGACCCTACCCCCATATACGGTCCCCTTCTGAAAATGACTTTAACACTCATTACTGGTCCCAAAATGCAAGTATAGCGATGAAATTCTACATAAATAAGTTTCATGTGAGCCAAAATCTTTCTACCAAATTTTTTGAGGATCGGTCCATAATAGACCCTTGCCCCATATAAGGTCCCCTTTAGAAAATTACTTTAACACTCATTACTAGCCCAAAAATTTTAGTATAGCGATGAAATTCAGTATAAGTAAGTTTCTTAAGAACCAAAACCTTTTAACCAATTTTTTAGGATCGGCCCATAAATGACCCTACCGCATATAAGGTCCACTCCTGAAAATGACTTTAACACTCATTATTGGCCCCAAACTGCAAGTATAGCGATGAAATTCGACATAAATAAGTTTCATGTAAGCCAAAATCTTTCTACAAAATTTTTTGAGGATCGGTCCATAATTGACCCTACCCCCCATATAAGGTCCCCTTTAGAAAATTACTTTAACACTCATTACTGGTCCAAAAATGCGAGTATAGCGATGAAATTCGGTATAAGTAAGTTTCTTACGAACCAAAATCGCTCTACGATTTTTTTTTTTTAAGATCGGCCCATAAATGACCCTATCCCCCATATAAGGTCCCCTTCTGATGACTTTAACGCTCATTACTGGCTAAAAATTACGAATATAGCAATAACATTTTACACAATTAAGTTCCTCGCGAGCCAAAATCTTTTTAATAACTTTTATGTGGATAGGTCCATAATTGGCCCTACTCCCCCTATTGGTTCCATTTCAGGAAATAACTTCAACGCTCATTACTGTCTTAAAAATACAAGTAAAGCGATGAAATGCTACACACGTAAGTTTCTTACGAGCCAAAACCTCTGTACCAATTTTTTTTTTTTGGATCGGCCAATAAATGACCCTTCCCGCTTATAAGGACCCCCTCTGCAAATAACTATAATGCTCATTACCGGCTTAAAAATATGAATGTAGTGACGAAAATTGATGCACATAAGTTTAATGCGTGCCAAAATCTCTCCACCAAATTTAGAGAGGATCGGTCCATAATTTACCCTACCGCCCATACAAGGTCCCCTTCAGAAAATTACACTGGCTTAAAAACATGAGTTATGATATACGGTTATGAAATTCGCTCCGATTAAAATCGACATAAAAAAGTTTATACTTAGGAACATAATTCTTCATTCCGAATTTAATGAGGACTGATTTATAAATGACCCTAGCCCCTATAAAAGGTTCCCTTCAGGAAAGAGTTTTGGTTATTGAAATACGAGTTTTCCTTATTTAAAATACGAGTATAGCGCTGAAATGTTGCATAAACAAGTTCTATACAAACGAAATCTAGGTACAAAATTTTATGAGTATCGGTTTATAATTAACGCATATAAAGGTCCTCTTCAGAAAATTACTCATACGCTCACGGTTTAAAAATTGAAATAAAATATTTGGTTTTTAAAAATTAATATTTTGTTAGTTCAAAAGAGCTCGGTCCATAATTGACTTAAGCCATATTCCAAATATCACCTGATGTTTATAGGGGAGCATTCCTTTTATGGCATACGGTTTGATGGTGGGTATATGAGATTCGGCACAGCCGAATATAACACTCTTACTTGTTTTCTTTTTATACCCTCCACAACCATCAGTGGTGATAGAGGGTATATATAACTTTGTCATTCCGTGTGTAACACCAAGAAATATTCATCTGAGACCCAACAAAGTATATATATTCTTATGAAATTCTGAGTCGATTTAGCTATGTCCGTCTGTCTGTCTGTGTAAAACACGCCCATGTTAAAACGAAGCAATAGAAATTCACAAAAAAATTTCAGTCTACCTCGAAAAAAATAACGTTTTTTTCCAATTCTTAAGTAGTTTTCTCAGAAATTACCAAAGATATTTCGATGAATTTTGTCGCACATTATTTTTTTGTAGCAGGGATTAAGTATGTTCAAACTCATAACAATTGATCCAATATTTCCCATAGCCCCCATACAAAGGTATATTCCCGGAAATTAGTTTATCGTTAATAACTCCCTCAAATATATCGGTATCAACACAAAATTTGTACATAGAAATACAATATGAATAGCAATCATACTACCAACATAGATCTAAGGTCCACTTCCAAAAACCACCTAAACGCACATATTTCATTGATTTTGTGATAAAGTTCGAGCTGAATATGTTTTGTGTACATACAAATCATTCTACCAAATTTCTTTTCGGATCGGTCTATTATTAGTCATAGCTCCCATATAAGGGCCACTTCCGAAAATCACTTAAATGAACACATTTGATTGTCAAATAAAGGTACCTTGATAAAATTCGACACATATATGTTTCGTCTATATATGAATCACGCTACGAATTTTTTTCGGATAGGACCATAATTGGTCATAGCTCCCATATAAGTTCCATTTCCGAAAATCACTTAAACGCATATGTTTCATTGATAAATAAAGCTATAGCATCTATATATATAAAAATGAATGTGTGTTTGTTTGTATGTTTGAACGTTATAGACTACTAAACGGCTGAACCGATTTTCTTGAAATTTTCACAGCGTATTCCTGCGTGTCTGGGACTTTTTATTTCGAAATTTCAAGTGGGCGATGAGCCACGCCCACATTAAGAAAATATAAAATCCGTATATTTGAGAGACACTTTAGTGTCAATATCATCATTTAGGACAAAAAGTAGGCGGACTAGCATTTTGGGTAATAAATTGGCGGACTACCCATGAGGGGAGCGGCACCTCCCATATTAATTAAAAACAAAAATTCGTTTATCTAGGAAACTAATAGAACTAAATTCTTAAAATTTTGCACGAAGAACTTTAATATTCATCTGAACATTTTTAAGGAAAAAAGAGCGGACTTTCACCTGGGGGCTTGGAGTCCCCATATGAATAAAATAGAAAAATTCGTATATCTGAGAAACTATTAGAGCTAGAATCTTTAAATTTTACTTGAAGAACTTTGACATTCATCTGAACATTTAGAGTATAACGGGCGGACTGGGGTACTTGGTAAGTCCAATATGAATTAAATACAAAATTTCGTTTAACTGGGAAACTAATAGAACTAGATTCTTCAAATTTTGCACAAATTATTTTAATATTCATCTGAATATTTTGGAGGAAAAATTGCGGACTTTCATCCGGGGAGCATGAAGCCCCCACATGAATTAAATTCGTATATCTGAGAAATTATTAGAGCTAGAATTTTCAAATCTTACATGAAGAACTTTGACATTCATGTAAACATTTAGAGAATAACGGGCGGACTTTCAATGGGGCGCTTGGCACCATATATATGAATTAAATACAAATTTTTCATAGATAGAAATTGGCGAACTTGTAATAATTTGCTTGGCATCTCTCATATGTAACATATTGTTAATCTGGAAAACTATTGTAGTTAGAATTTTCAAAATCGTAGAGGGTTTTTTATTTAATCAGTTTAAACGGCTAAACTGATTTTCTTGAAATTTTCACAATATCTTCCTGTATGTCTGGAAGGAGTTATAACTGCTTTTTATGTTGAAATTTCAAATGAGCGAGGTCCCACGTATAGAGTCCCCAAATTTTGTACAAGTAACTTTTGTTTAAATACAAATATTTTGGACAAAAATAGGGAGTTCAGCAAAAGCGGGCGTGGCACCTCCCATATGAAGTAAATACTAAAATCTAATTATTAAAATCTGTATATCTAGAAAACTATAACAGCTAGAGTCCCCAATTTTGGTGCCTCTCACGTGAAGTAATTACAAAAAATTGTATATTCTTATTAATTATTATTAATAATTTGCTTGACATCTTTCATATGTAACATAAAATAAATCTGGTATTTATTTATACATATTCGTTTTAGGGTAGCAAAGCACACTGGGTATAGCTAGTTGATAAATAAAACTTGAATATGTTTTGTGTACATATAAATCATTCTACCAATTTTTCCCTGGATCGGCCCATTATTTGTCATAGCTGCCATATAAGGCCCTCTTCCGAAA